ATTTTATGTCTGTGAATTATATCATTAAAGCTGTTAAGGAGGGGAGGGATTATAAGCCCCTGTCAGCTGACATCGAGACCCCTTATGATCGGGGCCATGAGGGGCTTTTGTAGGCTAGCCAGACTGCAGATGGAGGTCCCTGTGCAGCCCCCTGCAACTGCTGGGTGCAGGGGGGTCTCAGGGGTCAGCCAGCGTGAACACACTGAGCTTCTCATTGCTTTCACCCCCAGCCCTGCCAGCCCTCCCGCTGACCCTGCTCTCACCCTGCCCCACCTCCCCACCTCCATTCCGGGGGTCCTGGCTCTGCCTCACTGGAGACAGCCTGGGAAGATCAGCGGGGTTCAGAAACCTGCATTCTATATCCATGCCCCTCCAAGACAGATTAGACCCCAATAAACAAAACATTGTATCTCTGCAATCAGCTCACACAATGCACAGCCAGCCCTACACAGCCTTTTCCTGTCTCCTATTCCTTTGTGAATTTCTTTGTCATTTTGAAATTTTTATTATGGAAAACTTCAAAACATACAAAAGGGGAAAGAATAGTATAATCACGTACCTATCACCCTGCTTTAATAATTATCAATATTTTGCTAATCTTTCATGCATCTCCCAAGCTCACTTTTTTCTGAAATGTACAATATCATTTTACACATAAATATTTTAGTAAGTGTCTCTAACAGATAAGGAATTTTTTAAACATAACCCACAAGCCATTATCTCACCTAATTAGACATTTAGTATGTTCTAAGGCCCAAGGCATGTTCAAATTTTCCCAATTATCTTAAAATGTCTTTGTACAGTTGGTTTGTCTGAATGAGGATCCCAACAAGGCCCCCCGCTGCCGTTTAATTGCTGTCTCTTAAGTCTCTTTTGTAACAGTTTCTCCTCCCCCACGTTTTTTAAAGCCATTTCTTTGTTGAAGAAACGGTGTGTTTGTTGTGTAGAATTCTGTGAGTCTTTTTTGAAGTATTCTTATCTGGATGGGAAATCAAGCCTTCAGATTGTTTTTCACTTCAAGGAAGGATTAAGGAGAATGAATTAGTGAAAGACGCAAAGAAAAGTAATCGAATGAAAAACCAAGCCATGCTTGCCCCAGGAAGAGCAGAGCTCTAGCGGTGGAGTTATAATCACAGTACACTTCTTGAATCAGCTTGAATTATTGTTTCACGGTTCTAGTATTGTAAATACAGAATAAGGATTCAAACAAAAGTGATACAAAATGTAGAAAGTGATATAAGAGCCAAATCTTCATGTTCCTTAATAGTCAAACCCTAAATCTAAAACTGAAAAAAAGATTAACATTAGCAGTCTAAATCTGATGCTTAGAACATAGATATAAAAACAGAAGAAATGATCAGAAATACCAGAAAGACTTGAAAGGAACTGTGAGTGAAAGGAAATGGGAACCATTATTTTAAAGTGTATGTACTAGACTGTCAGATTTATTAACAGAAAATATATATCTTTTTAAAAAGATTAGGTTCATTTAGCTGGTATCTCTGGGGGCTAAAATCTGAGAAAGAATGAGTTAAGACACCAGGACCCCTGAGGCCTAAGGTGGACAGTTTAGTGAAAGAGCGTGACTCTCCATGCCCTCGGAGTTAGGACATTTGACACAGCACAGAGAGGGTCCACCAGGCCGCACCGTCTCCCACCCATTCTGCCTTTTGTTTCTTCGCTCCTGCCTGCCAGAGTGACCAGCCGGAACGAAAATGCCAGCCAACCGCCCTGGGCGCTGTCTGGGCGGGAGACTTCACCGCTGCCAGCCACGGTGACCACCCTTTCCTTCTCCTCTCTCCCCGTCCGTGGGAGTTTCCGAGGTCCTCTTGTGTGGGAGCTCCCAACAACTCCCAGCCTTGTTGGTTTGAAGTCCCTTCAACAAAGGTCCAAGGTGAAGGCCTGTTTTCATAGACTCAAACTCCTAACACAGCAGGGGGCACCCGGAATGCTTGGGGTTTTCATCTCCCCTTCTCTCTCTGAGGTTCTTCCAGAGGGGCAGGATGGTGTCATCACTAATAAGACCACTGGCTCTAAAGTCAGACTTGTAGCTTGGCCTTTTATTTGCTGTGTAACTTTGAACAAATTACTTAACCTCTCTGAGCTTCAGCTTGCCAGCTGTAAAATGGAGAGCATAGTAATATATAGGGTTGTTGTGAGGGCTTGAAAAGAATGATGCATGTAAGGCGTGTAGCGTAGCTCCTGGCAGACTGAGTGCTTGGTAAATGGAGCTGTTGACCATCCCCATATACTTGGAATCATCCCCTACTCTTCACCGTTGTCCCAGCGTCTCCAGGATGATACTGGGAGCCCCTTTTGGAGGCAGGGTGCTCCCCACCTATACCTGGCTCCCCATGGTCCCCACTTATGTTCACCTCCACCCGCAGCCAGTCTCCTCTTTCCGCAAGATCAGCTTTTATCTTGGCCTCTGGCCGAAGGGATCATAATTTCTCGTGCCTCTGTCTGGAATCTCAAAACCCCTAGCTGTTGATGGTTTGGAAACACAATGGGATTGGGGCTCCTGCCTCCAAAGGGGGCAGCCAGGGAGCAGCTGGATGATCCTGCGTGGACTGGGGGGTTTGGCACCATCAGGCCAGTGAGGCTGCAGGGGCACGAATGGGTGCTCCTAGCATACACATCCCACCCTCCTCGAGGGAAACTGAGGAAGGGAGCCAGGCCAGCTCTGAGCCTGCTCGGGGAATCTCAGCATCTCCAAAGGAGACTCACCAGAGAGTTCACAGGAAACAATGAGAGGAGGGATCTGGACCCCTCAGCATCTGGAGTGGGCCCCTAGAACTGCCCTCCCACCAAGACTGCCCATGGGGGAAAAGACACAGGTCCCCCCCAAAATTAGGATGCTGTCAGGAAGAGAAAGGGATCTTGGACAATGCCCCCAAATGCCAATTATTTATTCTATATAGAACCAGGATCCAGATAACGTGCCATAAGATCAGAACAACTGGCTGGATCTAACAAGATAAAATAAACAACAAACGTAGAATGCTACATTGAGGGTCAAGAAGCCAACTGCCCACAAAGAGATGGGGAGGAGCTAGTAGATCAATATTGGCACCAAAGTGAAGTGGCTGCCGGAAATATTAATTCACTGTGAGGCCATATTAATGGAGGAGTAGGATCTAAGAAAGGGGAGGTGAAAGTTCAGCTTTATTCCCAACTGGGTTCAGTTCCAAGAGTGATACTCTTTTTTCCAAGAGTGATTGTTGACCTGGTAAGAAGCAGACAGAGGAGAGCTATCACAATGGTGAGGGTCCAAAATCCTGTCCTTCCGAGGAAAGGCTGAGAGAACTGGGAGTGTTTGACCTGGAGGGGGAAGATTCTAGAGAAATGAGAGATGCCTTTATGAGTCTGAAGAGGTTCCCACAAGGAAAACAGTAGAGCTGCTCAGATGATTTGGTGAAATGGGAAAAGCTCGAACTCTCTCCTGGAGTCAGAAAAGCCGGATTCAGACTCCACTATTTATCGGCCGTTAGGGACTGAACATGCTTCGAACTGCAACATGTCAGACACGACTGAGGGCTGGGTGTGGCTTTTCTGTGAGAGCCAGAGGGAGGAAAACACTGGGAGGGAGAGTTCAGCTCCACCCGAGGAAGAATTTTCTTTCTTTTTTGGATAACATTTACTGTTCTTATCTCTGATCACAAAAGAAATACATGGTTGGGTATAATATTGGTAAACAAAAAAGCAAAATTATATAAAAATCACAGCAACCACTATTTACCCTTTAATATTTAGGGATAGGATAGATAGACAGACAGATAGATAGATAGATAGATAGATAGATAGATAGATAGACAGATAGATAGGCAGGCAGATATTAACAAAAATGAGATCATACCAACAACTGTCTGAGAGAACCGGGTCTCAGCAGGTAAGTACTGGCATGTAAGGATGTGTATTGCAGTATTGTTTCTAGTAGGAAAGAAAAGCTGCAAATCAGCTGATTGCCCATCAATAGGGAATGTTCGAGTAAATGACAGTGTCCACACCTTGTGATAGTGTGCAGCTAGTTGAAAGAAAAGGGTGGGGCAGATATGTATTGTCTTCAAAATGTTTACAACATCTATCACTTAAGGCAAAACAAAGTTATAGAGTAATATGCATAGTATGAGCTCATTTTTGTAAAAAGAAATGCATGCACATGTATGTTTTTATAAGCAAGGAAACAGTAAGGAGTTAACAGTGGGTACGTCTGGGGGCAGAGTTGGAGAGGCAGAGGTAAGACTGTTAATGGGTTCTTTGAACATTTCTGTGTTGCTTGAATTGGGACAGTTAGCATATATTATTTTCATAATTCGAATGAATGAAAGTTAAATGAACAACAATCTACCCTGGAAATTTCTCCATGAGATGAAAGTTTCCACGTCATATTTAATGACCACGTGTATTCTTTGTGTGGATTTCTCTTAATGTATTGAACCCAGTGGGGGACATTTAGTATGCGGGAGCTGTCCAAAGAGGGACCAGGAGCATTTTGATGGTCTGTCAGACCTGAAAATGTGCAGACCCACAGATCTAACCATGCCTGGGGTAGGAAATCATCTGATCGGTACACTAGTGCATGTGCACAAAGATGTCTATGCGAGAATGGTCCCTGCCTCATTATTCCTGCTACCAAAATGCTAGAAACAGTCTGCTTGTCCAACCTCCGGGACCGGATAAATAAAAATTACAGGCGCACCATATGCTGCAATTCTCAACAGTGAATACAAGAAATGAGATGGATCTGTAGAAATTTACAAGGAAAATGTGCCAGGATATATTGCAAAGTGAAGGGGAAAAAGGCAAGTTAAAGAATATGTACAGTATGATCTCATTTCTATTTAAAATGCGTATGTGACTGCACTGAAAAAGAGCTGAAGGATACATATCAAGCTGTAGGTAGGATTTACCTATAGGTATGCATGTATTTTATATAGCCCTATAGGGATATAGGTTTAAAGCTCTAAAGGAAGTGAGCTCCCCGTCCCCATGAGGTATGCAAATAGAGATTAGCTGCCCCGTTTTCAAGGATGCTGCGGAAGGGATTTCCACATCCCTCGGAGGTGACCTCTGTTCTGCTCTTTGCCCTGAGAATCTCTGAGAGAGGGGAGGTCACGACCGGGAGGAGAATCCACCCGTAAGGGGAAAGGGTTAAGCGGGGATGGAGCTCCTGTGGGCGGGCTCGGCGATCGGCAGCGCCGGGCTCTGTTAGCCAAGTCTGAGCATCTCCGAGGATGCGGCGCGGCGAGCGGCTGCAGGGACGCGCGCAAGGTGAACGCGGGGGCTGCCGGCGTGGCGCCCAGGTGAGGAGCTGGCCGAGGGAGGGGGCGATGGCGGGGCCCAGGCAGGGAGCATGGCCTGCAGCCCCCCTCTCGGGCGCGAGCGGCAGGGCCTGCACCAGCGCCGACCCCCACCCTGGACACTGCGGGAAGGCGCAGAGCCAGGGGAGAAGAGACCGAGGAGGAGAGGTAACCCGAGATGGACCAGCTCCTGGAGGATGCCCTGCGGCGGCCCTCGCCCTGCCCCCAGGCCAGCCTCTCCCCAGTCCCTGGAGCAGGGAGATACCCCCCACCCCCACCAAATCTCTCCAGCAGCGGGAACCCAGGGCTGGGCAGCCCCCTCCTTGTCCGCAGATGCCTACATCTTTTGGATTGGGGGCGGTGAGCAGATGGTATATGCTTATCATTGAAGGCCCAACTCAACTGTCTCCTCCTCTGCAAAGCTTTTCCGACTCCCTGTGCAAGATGAGCCACTGCAGGTTTCACAACTTCTAGAATGGCTATGTGCTGGCTGTGTGACCTTGGGCAGGTTGCTCAACCTCTCTGAACCTTGGTTGCTTCCCCTATGAGATGGGTATAGCCGCACCTGCTTGCGTTAGGAGGCTTGGGTGAGATTGAGGACATGCAGTTAAGCTTGCCACAGAAGAGCTGACACAGGAGTACTGTCATTAACCAGGACCTGTGTCAGTGGCCTCCCGGGCCTTCCCTCAGCTCCCCCCGACCCCAACACTGGACCCCAGGCTTCTCTTTGGGTCCCCAGCACCTAGCCTGGGCCAGAGCAGAGCATGGGGCTGGGTGAATGTTTGAGAAATGAACTGAGGCTCTAAGGCAGAGTCTAAACTCGGTTTGGGGGGTGAGTTTAAGGGGCCATTGAACCCCCTGAAATCGTCCACACCTTTGGTGAACCTGGGCATTTTCCTGGGGAGAGAGCCTGGAGTTTTCTCTGTTTGTTCTTTTTTTTTTTTTTACCATTTTTCACATGAAGATTTTTTTAATTGAACTATAGTTGACATAAAATATTATATTAGTTTTGGGTGTACAATATAGTGATTTGACATTTATATACATTACAAAATGAGCACTGTGACAAGTCTAGTAACCATCTGTCACCATCCAAAGTTGTTACAGTGTTATTGACTATGTTCCCTGTGCTGTCCACTGCCTGCCCGTGACTTAGGATTTCATAACTGGAAGTTTGTACCCCGTAATCCCCTTCACCTCTGTCACCGCCCCCGCCAGCCCCCTCCCCTGCATCTGGAGTTCCGCTTCTCAAGGTGTCTGTGAGCCACGGAGGGTTAGGAGCCAGGGGGCTTTGGGCACGGCTGCTTCCCAGAGAGCAAAGGAGCAAGGCCTCTGGCCCTGAGCACACCCAGGCCGTGCTCTCACAGCCGCTGTCCCCCCTCTCCTGGCCGAGGGTCCCTCCCTGGCTCTGCTGGGGACTCTCAGGAAGAGGAACCTTCATTGAACATCCACCTGGGCCCAGGCATATGTGGGGGGCTGGAGACAAGAAATGAAGGATGCAGATGTACCCCTTGAGGAGCCTCCGGTGGGGGGTGGGGATGGGGGACCAGGGGGTGACAAGAGATTATTACACTCTGTGACCAGGTGACGGGAAGCGGTGGAGGGGCCGTCAGGTAAAAAAAGGTCTAAACTAAAACGAGCCACCATCATATCTTATTTCTGCCCTGGCCTCTCTGCTTCTTTTAAAACACTTCTCAGACCTTGTCATTCCCATGCTTAACATCTCGTTGGCTTCCTGTGATGAAGCAGAGAATCAAATCCAGGTGCCTTATGTAGTTTGCAAGGCCCCTTGTGACCTCCTTCCTGATTTCATCTCCTTCGGCCACTTGCTCCTTCATTTGCTGTGCCTTCTCATTTCTTGAACTCACCTCGCTCATTCCTGCTTCGGGACCTTTGCACTTTCTGTGCCATCTGCCAAATGCTTGTCCCCCGTATCTTCGGGTGTCTGGCTCCTTCTTCTCATTCAGCCTTTAGCTTAAATGTCAGCTCAGAAAGGCCTTCCTGGCCCCCCTGTGTAAAGTAGCCCCCGTCCCTCTATGTCTTAACCTGTTTTGTCGTCTTCATAGCTCACGTTATTTAAAAGTAGTCACTGTCTGTCTCTTACGTGAATGCCAGCTCCGTGAGGGCAGGAATCTTGTCAGTCTTGCTCACTGCTTTCTCCTCAGGGCCTTATAAGAGCCCCTTTGAGTGGAGTACCCTTAGACCCATTCTACTGATGGGAAACCACGAGGCGGAGAGGGAGGTAAAGTGACTCACCCAGGAAATGGCAAGGCTGGTCCCTCCTCAAAGGCAGTGGCCTCTCCCTCTCCCCCTCTGACATTTGAGCTGGGCCTTCAAGAATAGGGTTTCAGCAAGTGAAGAAGAAAGGAGAGGGCATTCCAGGCTGAGGGAACAGCAGCAGCAAAGGCCTGGGGTGTCGGACAGTCCAGAGGGGGTTGGAGGACAGGTGAGCAGCCTGGTGTGGCCTTGGAAAGGCCGGAGAGGAGCTTTTATTCTCTCCTGAGGGCCTGGAGAGCCGTTGAAGGTTTCGAAGCAGGGCAAATGGCATGACCAGAGATGCAGTTTTAAAAGGTCACTCTGGGCAGCAGGAAGAGGTTGAACAGGAAGGGGCAGGGAAGGGCTCTTCTCTCTTTCCCACCAGCCCCCTTGGGGCAGCCAGGGGAGCCCCCTGCCCTCACATGTCATCCCGCCTCTCCTTTTTTTAGGCTCATCCAGTGAGGACTGGAAGTTGAGGGCTCATGGCCCAGGCATCAGAGTGGACCATGGCCCCCAGCCCGTGGGGCCGTGTATGTGGCCTCCTGCTACTGTTGCTTCTGCTGTCCCTGGGCGCTGGCCCTGCCCTGGGCCGGGGCCTTCCCAGGCCACTTGAGGACTTGGAACCACAGCTGATCCCAGGAGCCCACCCCAAGGGTCCTGCTGGCACAGAGCCCCAGGCCTTCAACTTCCTCTGGGAGAAGCCCAGAGTTGAGAGCCCCTGGGACTCCAGTATCCCCCAGGTCACTGCTGAGGAGGCGCCTGAGCGGCCTGCAGACTCTCCCCTTGGCCCAGCCCTGCATGGACCTAAAGCAGCCGAAGGGGCTCAGAGAGAAGGACTCCCACTAACTGATGACCTCCAGGTGGCTCGAGGGCCAAGTTCTCAGGGCTGGACAGGACCTCCTGACTCACAGGAGCCTATGGAGCAGGAAGCACCAGCCCCCCACCCAGTGGGCCCCCCGCATCTTACTTTCATCTCCACAACTCCCAGACTCCAACTTGGGGTAGCCACAGTTCCTCCCTCCCCAGGGGGGCCTGGGGGCCAGTTGGGAAGGCAGCCCCCTAGAGATGAGGGTCTGGTGGCCAAAGCCAAGACTCGGCTCTCAGAGATGTCCCCCTCGGACTCCCAGGGCCCTCTCCACACTCTCGTGCCCCACTCGGGCACCATCAGGAGGCCGGTGCTGGAAGAACAGGGTGAGGGAGAGGAGGGCTTCCAGGAGGCAGCTCGAGGTCCCCTCTTCAGCCAGCAGGATCCAGCAGCCTCTGATGTTGGCTCAGTATCCCCAGTTGAGGTGGCATCCTCTCAGGAGCCTGGGTCCCAGCCAGACCTGGCAGTGGCCAAAAGCCTTCCCCCTAATGAGGAGCTGCCAGTTGAGCTCCCCAAGAAGGCTGGAGGTGAGGAGACCTGGGAAGTCGGTTTTCCAAGTCCCTCGCCCAAGCAGGCTGACCTCCCTGATGTCACGGGCTCACCAGGACCCCAGCCCTCAGATCCCCCAGCCTCAGAGACTCCCGATGGTCAGCCCAAGCCAGGTGGGTATCAAAGTGAAAGTGCCGAGCGGGGCTGGGAGGAGGCAGTGGTCCAGGGCAGCTGCATGCCTCAGCTTCTGTGTGACCTCTGGTCCCTCTGCGTCCCGTTTTCCTCATTCTGAGGAAATGAGGGTGCTGGGGCCTCCCTCCTGGGGGATTAGACTTTGGGGACTGCTGGAGGATCAGGCAAAGTGATGACTGCTTTTGTTATTTCAGCGATAGCAGCAATGAACGGAGCAGACCCCATCTCCCCCCAGCGGGTGAGAGGAGCAGTGGAGGCCCCAGGTACCCCCAAGTCCCTCATCCCTGACCCCTCGGACCCTGGCCCAGCTACCAACCGAACAGAGAGCCCCATGGGGGCCCTGCAGCCAGGTGAGGGCATGGCTGGGGGTTTGGGGAGAGCGGGTACTCTAAGAACTAAGAACCTGTGTGAAGTGTCTATGGGCACGGGGAGTGAATGGAGACAAACACCTTCTTAAAGGAATTAGCCAGGACCTCCTTCAAACCACTTAGGATAATAAACGAATACTCACTGGGTACTCTAGGAGAAGTCATTTGCCCTTTTGGGGCTAGAATGTTCTTCAGTGTATCATGGGTATATTTAGTGCAGTGATTCTCCAACTGCCACGGATCACTGGAGGAGCTTTTTAAAAATCCCAAGGCCCAGACCCCATCCCAAGGAATTCTGATTCCGCTGGTCTCCAGGTGATTGATACGCAGCCCACATTGAGAACTGCTGCTACATTATTAATAAAAATGATAGCTCACATCCATGTAACGCTTATCGGGTGTTGGGCGCTATGCTAAACATTTAATCCTCATCACAGCCCGGTCAGGTAGGTGCTGCTACCATCCCCATTTTACAGACGCGCTTGGGAAAGTTAAATAACTGGCCCACCACACTAGAGAATGATGGAGAATCAAAAACACTTTTCCAAGGGCGATTTTAATATTGTTATTATTGCAGATGAAGCCGAGGAGTGGCCCGGGCGCCCCCAAAGCCATCCCCCAGCACCCCCAGTCCAGGCCCCCTCGACGTCACGCCGGGGCCTCATTCGGGTTACCACGCAGCGGGCCCTGGGCCAGCCACCCCCTCCGGAGCCCTCAGCCAGCTCCATGGCATCAGCCCCAGCCTCCAGCCCCCCGGCCAACGCCACCGCACCCCCCCTGCGCTGGGGTCCCCTGCGGCGGGTGCTGAGCTTTTCCTGGGAGCTGCACGTCTATGGGGTGGGGGTGCTCTTCCTGCTGCCCGCTTTGTTGGCACTGGCCTCGCTGGCAGCCGCCCCTGCAGGCCCCCGGCTAGCCCTGGTGGCGGCGGTGCTGGTGCTCGTGGCGTCGGGGCTGCGATCCGCCTACATGCTCGCTGACCCGTACGGCTCGCAGGCACGGCTGGGCTTACGCGCCGGCCTGGTGCTCTACAACCTGCCCTTCCCCTTGCTGCTCACCGCGCTGGCCGCCCTGACCCTGCTCGGCCTGGGCGCCGGGCTGCCACCGCAGCTACAGAACCCGGTCCTGCTGGGAGCGCTGGCCTTGGCGCACGGTGTGGGCTTGCTCACCACAGACCTGCTGTCCGCGAGGCCTGCGTTCAACCTCCTGGCCCAGGGCTTATCGTGCGCCTGGGGCGCGACGGTGGCTCTGGGCACGCTCTGCCTGTGCCGTCGCCGCCTGCTGGACGGGCCGCGGGGCTGGGATGCCAGCCCGGGCCCGCGGCTGTTGGCCGTGGCGGGCGCTCTGGGGCTGCTGGCCAGCGGCTTGCAGCTGGCGGCCGCGCTCTGGCTGTACCCGGGCCCAGGCCGGGTGGGCCGCTTCTCCTGGGCCTGGTGGGGCGTCCACTTCTGGCTGCGCCTGCTGGAGCTGACGTGGGCGCTCGCCTTGGCGCTGGCCGCCGTGGCCGCCGCGCGGCCCAGGCCGCCCACGGAGCACGCTTGCTGGGCTAAGCTGCTGCGCCTGGCGTGCCCCACGCCCTCAGGCAAGAGCGAGGTGCCCGAGCGACCCAACAACTGCTATGCGGGACCCAGTGGCGTCGGCGCAGGCGGCTTGGACATCAGCAAGAGCCTCATCCGCAACCCAGCGGAGGGGGGGCCGCCGGCCACGCCCAGTTCGGCCGCCTGGGGCTCGGCTGCGTCGCTGGGCCGCGGTGCCCAGGGTGGCCCGGGACTGTCCCGCAGCAGCGTGGGGCCGGCGCCGTCGATGAGCGAGCTGGACCTGCGGCCGCCGTCGCCCATCAACCTGAGCCGCAGCATCGACGCCGCGCTCTTCCGAGAGCACTTGGTGCGAGACAGCGTGTTCCGGCGCTGCGGCCTGCGCGGCCTGGCCTCCCCGCCGCCCGGGAGCGTGCTGCGGCCGCGCCGGGGCAGCCACCCCGACGCCGAGCTCGACGGCGCGGGCTCCGCGCTCCTCCGCGGCCGCTGCCGGTCGCTCAGCGACGTGCGCGTGCGCGGGCCGGTCCCACCACACGTAGCGGACGAGCCCGACGCGGGGGCCTCCGGCAGCTCAGCGGACAGCTTCTCCCGGGGCTCGCTCAAGATCAGCTGGAACCCGTGGCGCCACGGTCTGTCGTCGTTGGACAGTCTGCCCTTGGAGGAGCTGCCCAGCACGGTGCACCTACTGCTTGCCCCCGCCCCTGCTCCCGCCCCGCCTGGGGAACCCCCGACTGAGGTCCAGCCTCGCTGCAAGCCCGGGGACTCCCGCAGCGCCTCCAGTGACACCATCGAGCTCTGAGGGGTCCGGGGCCAAGGCCCCGCCCCCGATGCCTGTAGGGCATGGCCGACTGGGACCTTGAAAAACTGGCATTCCCGGGCTTCCGCCTGACTCCAGCCCCGGAGACAGCCGGGCGTGAACCCACTCTGTTTTTTGTTTTTTAAATATCTATTTTTTTCAGCGGGTATTTTGCACAGAGGCCGTGACTTACGCGGAATACAGGGTGGACATGCACAGATTTGGGTATGGGGAGCGAGATTCAGGTGCCCCAACACCCCTCCAGACTCCGTCGTGTGGAGAGAGAAGGCTCGCTTGTCCAGACTGACCGTCCTCTTTGTGCCAAAGAAATAAACCCTTAGGACTTGGCTCCTGCCTCCCTCTGGCCACGCCAGGATCCTGCTCAGCGGAGAGGCAGGAGGCCCCGCCCCACAAGGATTCCAAGTCCTGTGTCTTTAGGGGAGGCAGGACTTCCAAAGGAAAGGGCACTCAACCCTTGGCGGCGTTAGAAATATTTTATGGAACATTTATCTGTTGTGCACTGTCTTCGGCTCTTCACATTCATCAGTTTACTTAGTTCTCATATTAAGCCTGAGTGGGAAGCATTTTCGTGGCCATTTTAGACAAGAGAAGAATGAAGTTCAGAGACGGAAGTCATTTGTCCAGGATCCTTTGGCAAATGATAGCTGGTACTGAACCCAGAAAGTTCCACTCCTAAGCCTGGTTCCTCCATTCCCCTTCTCCTGATACTGCTTCAGGGCCACGCCTCTCCTCTGCCCTCTACTGCTCCTCCCTCAGGGTAGCCCCCAATTTCCCAGGGTTTCAGAAAACTTCCCCAAGGGGGCAGTAGGCGGAGCTCTCAGGAGCTTAGCCCAGCCCCTGGGGTTGGGAGGGGGCTAGTCAGACAAGCTTCTCCATTTTCCAAGACCTTTATTTCCTGAGATGAATAAATAAATTGGTGGCTGGGGGGGGGCGGGGAGTTCAGAACAGGAGCTGGTGGCATGCAGCTGGCAGGAGGGGCTGTAATGGGCCCACCCCAGCAGGGACCCCCCTCATCCTGGGCAGGGGCCAAAGCTCATGAGCAGCCACCACAAAGAGACACTTTTCTTTTTAAAAATTCACACACAGTGGGAAGCCTGCCACATGCCACCAGGCCTAGATCTCACGACATCCACCTTTAGGGCTCCTTTCTCATACCAGGGGCCTCACCTGCCCAGGCCTGGGGGCCTGGGCTGCTCCAGAAGGTGGGTAGTGGGTGCTTACCCCACTCTCAACAATAAAGCAAGCTGCCCCAAGTGTCCAGGCTGGAGAGAGGCCCGACCTCAGGGGCAGCCTGGGTGGGAGGAGAGCCTGCAGGTGTGGCAGGATTATCTGCCCTTGATGAAGCCCTCCAGCACACGGTCACTGCGCTCTGACAACCAGTAACCAGTCATGGCCGCCACAGCCCCGATGAAGATGGCTGTGAAGACCAAGTCGCCCTTGGCGGCCAGCGTGGCCAGTGCGCAGATGATGACGCCGAAGAACATCTGCTGCAGCACCACCAGCTCATCCTCTGTCATCTCCGAGAAGAAGCCTGCCGACTCTGAGGAGCCAGGGAAGCACCTGTCACTCCCCACGGTTCCTGGAGCCTCCCACACACCTGGGCATCCCCCCGCATGCCAGCATGCGATGTCATTTACTACTGAGAACTCCAAGAGGGGCTGGTATTATCCCTGTCTCACTAAATGGGAAACTGAGGCTCAGAGAGGTGAAGAGGTTTGCCCAAGGCCACGAGGTAGGCGAGTCGGGACAGAGCGTGTTACGTGGACTAGCTCAGCTCTAGAGCCCGGCTGCCTGAGTTCGACTCCCAGCTCTGCAACCTGCTTGCCACATGGCCCTGGGCAAGCCGCTTCATCCCTCTGCATCCGTTTCCACTGTATAAAATGGGGATGAGAACAGTACCCACAGAATTGGATTTGTTTTAGGGGTGAAATGTGTTAATACGTGCAACATGCTTGGAACAGTGTCTGACACACGGTAAGAGCTGTGGAAGTAGTCACTCTTGTCATCACTGCGATTGTCCTTCATCTCTCCAAACCCCTGGCTTACAATAGTCTGTGGCCCAGGGAAAGGACTGGTCCCACTGGACACATAGGGAAAGAGGCTTCAGGGTGCAGAGTGATTTGACACCAAGTCCGATTTCCTTTATACCCCAGGATGTGTGAGGCTACCAAAAGCCAGCTTGGAGATCAGGTGTCAGGTCTGGGTCTCAGTGCAGCCTCATGGGGGCTGGTGGCGGGGAGCAGGGCCTGCAGTTAACTGGAGAAGGGGCTTGCTGGCCCTCCCCCGGATGAGGACCTCCCTTCTCCAGGGTTCTGGGGGCCATGAGGGGGCTCACCTGGGATCTGCTCCTTCACACAGACACCTTCAATCTGTTTGTAGCCCTGGGTACAGACGCAGCGGTAACTGCCCTCGATGTTCTCACACTGCTCGTTCTCTCCTGGACATACCTCGGTCTCACACTCGTCCACATCTTGAGGGAGTGAGGGTGGGGTCAGAGCCCTGACTGCCAGGGAAGCACCTGCAGCACCCCTGACTCCATCTTGCCCACATCCTGACACTCCCCTCTGCCCTGGCCCAGGCAACATTCCACCTCCCCTTCCTTCCTCTGCCCTGGCCAGATTCCAGCCCCTCTCAATTCATGGTGGGCAAGGCACTCCAAGTTTGCCTGGGCCCAGTGGCAGGAAACTCACCGAGACACTTGGAGCCCACCTGCTGGTAGCCAGGGCTACACTTCTTGCAGCGGCCTGGCCCTGCGCCCATGCAGCCCAGGCAGGCCTTGGCACAATCTGGAGAAGGGAGAGGAGACAAGGGCAAGGGCTGCCCTTAGGTCCAGGAAGAAGCCCTGCTCCAGAAGCTGCCTGGGGGGATTCTGGTGCCTGAGAAGGCACAGGTTTGGGGGGAGAGGTGTGGAGCAGCTCCTCCTGCCCTCCCCACACCCCCTCTTCTGCAGGAGTGGACGCTCACCTCGGCATTCGTAGGAGCCCTCCGTGTTCACACAGAACTGGTCAGCTCCACAGCTGGCTCGCTCTGTGCCACACTCGTCGATGTCTGCGGAGAGGCCAGCGGGGTGGGGATTTCAATCCCTGATTCACTAACAGGGAAGCTGAGGCCAGAGCTGTTGGGGAATGGACTTGCCCAGGCCCCCAGGGTGTGGCAGAGACTGCAGGCTGTCCACCCACACGGATGCAGAGGTGCAGCGGGACTCCGGGCTGCCCAGCTACAGCCTCCATTTGACAATCTGCCTTGCAGCTAAGGGTGGCCTTTGACTGAGTTCGGGCCAACAGGATGTAAACAGAAGTGATGTGCTCCACTTTTAGCTTGGCCTTAGAACAACGGCCTTGGACTCTCCCATGCACTTATTCCCTTTCTTACTTCCCGAGTGCCAGGTCATGGAACACGGAGGTGCCCGTGACCCAGCCTCAACCATGAAGACAACATCCAAGGAGACGACTGCACAGGAACATAGAAGGAATCTGCGTCCTTGGATGACTGTGACAAGCAGAGCTTCCCTGCCAGCCCAGACCACGCTTTGAAACTGTGATGTGAGATAAAAATAAACCTCTCTGTTCTTTAAGCCACAGTCTTTGCAAATCTTTTTGTTACAGCAGCTTGGCCTTGACCCTGATCTATATAAATGGCGTCCTCATTCCCCTGGCTAACCCTTCCTCAATATTCTAGGTGTGGTCTAAGAGACACCTCCTCAAAGAAGTCTTTCCTGACTCCCCACCACCGAGCTGGAGCAGGGACATCTCACTGTGTAAAGATCAGTCTGTACTGTAAGCCCTTGGTTACCTTCTACCTTCCCAACCAGGCTGAGATCTCCATGAAGATGGGGACTGTGTTGGTCTAGCCCAGAGATGCGTGTGTTGATGGGGGACCAAGCCCAGGCCCCTGCCCACCTCCCCAGACCTAGGGCAGGGCCCCACTTACCTACACACTTGAGGTGATGCAGGGCCCAGCCCTTCTTGCATTGTAAACAGTTTGATTCCTCAGGTCCCGAACAGCGGGCGCAGGGGCCAAAACAAGCTGAGTGGAATGGGGAAGGATGAGGATGGGCAAGCAGGCACCCCACTCCCCTGCCCAGCACCGTGCCCCTTGGCTACCTACCCGAACATACCAGATGGCTGGCGTTGCGCTCCGCCTCAAAGTAGCCGAGGCCGCACTGGCCACAGGCCTCACCCCCGTAGCCGGCCTGGCAGTCACAGTGCCCGCTGCCCCCTCGAGTCCCTTCCCCTTCACACTTCCCGTAGCCGCCACAGGGCCTCTCTGCGCCCCCAGGACAGGCTGTGGGCAGACACCAAACCAGGTGAGATCGTAAATACAATCTTGTACAGAGAGAATATTTTCCCCATGTCGTTAAACATTTTTGGAGAGAAAACAATTTTAATGGCAACATAATATTTTGTCATAAAACGGTATGAAATTTACTTAACCAGTACCCCACTGTGGAACAATTAGGTTATTTACAAATCTTTTATAAAGACTGAACTGACCATCTTTGTTGCTAACTCTTTATCTGCAGCTTCTGGAGAGATTTTTCTAAAAACGGTTGGTAGTAAGTCCAGCTCCTGCCTCAAGACTATGTGCAGAAAACGGTGGTGACAATGGGGCTGCAGGGCAGCACCCGCCCATCCCTAGGATCCCACCTTAGTCCAGGAGGTGGGGTCTGGTCTGATACAGGCATGGGCACTGGGGGCGGGGGGAGGGTGGGGCACTTCTCAAATATATGATGAAACCACTGCCACATCTGACTCAGTCTAGCCCCTTATCTTTTCTCAGAGCCCTTTCCCACTGATTCACTCATCTCACCAGCTCTGTGTGCAGGCAAGAACTGAGGTCCAGAGAAGCTATCTGAGCAGCCTGAGCTCACGCAGCCAGCTAGCAGCAGAGCCAGGACTGGATCCCTGGCCTCAGCAGTCCCCTCTCATCCCCTAAGAGGAACCTGAAAAACTCACGAACGCAGGAGGGCCCAAAGGTGCCTGAGGGGCAGCAGAGCTTCAGGGAATCAGAGCAGAGCCACTGGAAGAGGTCTGGAGCTTCCTGCTGCCTGAGGCGGGGGGAAGTGAGAGTGAGGGGGGCTGAGACACTGGCAGAGGTGCTGCCCCCCGCAACCTCCCACAGAATCTGTGATACAACCCATCTTGGGCATAAGACCGCAAGGCCACCTGACCAACGCCCTTTCCCCATTTGGCAGAGGGGGAAACAAGCTCAGAGTGAGAGCTTGGGTCCCCCAGCAAGTCCTTAGCAGATCCGGGTTTGGGAGAAGGAACCAAACCAGGACATGGCCCCTAGCATGTGACCCCCTGCTTTACCACCAGGCCCTGCTGTGGCCCCCTCCCCGGGAAGGCCCCCACATAGCTCACTTGTGAAACCACCAGCTCTCCACCAGCTCCTCACTCAGCTCCAGCAGGCGATGGCACTCGAAGTCCGACTTGCTGCACACGCTCTCAAGCACCTCTACCAGGCGGGTCTCACTGACCAGAGAGGGCGGGGGTGGTGGGAACACGCTCCACTCCACCCACCACCCTCCTTAAGGTCTCCTCTCCCCCTCTCCCACCCCTCCTGGGGCCAAGACAATGTCAAAAGAAAGGCCATGGGGGTAATGGAAGAGGTATTGGTTTTGAGAGTCAGACCTCCCAAATGAGGGGTTCAACTCTAGTTGTGTGACCTTGGGCAAGTCTCTCAACCTCTCTCACACCTCTGTTTTCTTATCTGTAAAATGGGGACAATACTTCCCCTGCAGTTCTAAGATACATCCTGCACCTGCACAATGGAACATAACACCCTTTGCTGGGGAGATGTGAGGAAAAACATACCACATAACAAGTACTGGCGAGGATGTGGAGAAATTGGAACCCTCCTACACTGCAGGTGGGAATGAAAAATGGTGCAGTTACTATGGAAAACAGTGTGGCAGCACCTCAATAAGGTAAACATGGGATCACCACACGACTCAGGAATTCCACTCCTGAGTATATATCCAAAAGAATGGAAAACAGGTTTTCAAACAAAACCTTGTATGCAAATGTTCACAGCAATACTATATACAATAGCCAAAAGGGAGAAACAACTCAAATGTCCATTAAGTGATGAATGGATAAACAAAAGGTGGTATATCCACACACAGGAATATTATTAGGCCTTAAAAAGGAAAGAAGTATAGATATATGCTACAACGTAGATGAACCTTGAAAACATTATGCTCAGGAAAGAAGCCAGACACGAAAGGCCACATATTGTATGATTGCAATGGAATCAGAAAATCCATAGAGACAGAAAGCAGATTAGTGGTTGCCAGGAGCTGGGGAGGGGGTGGGGGAGCTTGGGGAGTGACTGCTTAATGGGTATAGAGTTTCTTTTCGGGGTGATGAAAATGTTCTGGAACTAGACAGTGGTAAAGGTTGCACAACATTGTGGATGTACTAAATGTCTCTAATAGTAAAGTTTATGTTATGCGTATTCTAACACAATAAAAAATTTTTTATACATATAATGTATTATATTATGTATTTAAAGGGGCTAGCACAGTGTCTGGCATACAGGAAGAAGTGATTTAAAAAAAAACAAAAAACACAAACAGGAGCCACTAAAGAGCTGCAAGTGTCCTTAGGGTTATTTTGGCCAATCCCCTCATTCCCAAATGAGGAAACTGAGGCCCAGTGAGGGGAAGGAAAATGACCAATGTTACATAATAACAAAACCTTTTATTTCTAGTGGGCATCACAGTTTAATCCTTACCACAATCCTATGAAATAGGCAAAGCAGGTATTAATGTCCCCATTTCCAGTGAGGAACCTGAGGCTCAGAGAGGTTAAGTGACCTTCCTCAGGGGACAAAGGGTCATGCCAGGTCTGTCTAACTCCAAGTCTTTGCTGATTCCTTCTCCTCGATTTGACTGTGAAAAGCTGGAGGGCCTGGGACTTGGCCTCTCCTCTCTCAAAGCCCTCTCCATATAACCCCATCTCGACCCATGGCCTTTTAGACCAACTACATGCTGCTGACTCCCAAACTCATGATCCCAGTTCCTACTTCTCTCCTGAACTCCGGACTCTTGACCCTAACTCTGCCTGGCTATTTAATGGCCGTCTCAGCCCAACAGGTTCACAGGAGTGCCTGAGTCCAGCCCCCCCACATCTTCCCCTTCCTTCCTCAGTTCTCCCATCTCGGAAAACAGCCTCACTAGTCACCCAGCTGCTCAGGTCCAAAATCTAGCAAGCATCTTTTCTTCTTCTTCTCTCATACCCCGTAATGAATCCATCATCAAGTCATATCACTCTAACTGCAAAACACGCCCAGAATTTGAGTCCTTCTCTCAATGTGCACCACGAGACACCACACTCGCTCAAGCCGCCTTCACGCCTGGACCGTGCACTAGCGTCTGGGCTGGTCTCCCTGCGTGCTCCACCCTGGGCCCCACAGTCTGTTTGCTACACAGCAGTGTGAGTGATCTTTTAAAGGTACAAAACAGACCACATCACTTCTCTGCTCCAAACCTTCCAGTGGTTTCCCACTTCACTCACAATGAAATCTCAGCCCCTTTCTGCGGCCTCAGGGCCCTCTGCCTTCACCTTCTGCCACTCTCCCATCTGCTCACTCCAAATCCAGCCACTTCTCAAATACACCAAGCTCGGTCCCACTCTGTCCAAATCCCTTCCCTGACTGTCACACAGCTTGCTTCTTCACTTCAGGTCTCTGTTCGAACGTCACACCTTGAACACCATGCCTCCCACCATTCTGTAGTCCTCCCTGCTTGACTGTTCCTCACCTGATAGGACATTATTTACTTACTCAGTGTCTGTCTCCTTTACTAGAATGTAAGCTCCTTGAAGATGAGTTTGCTTGCCTTGTTTACTGCTGTACTATAAATGTTCGCTGATATTTGTTGAATGAGCGCTCCCCAAGAGTCTCTAGGTGCACAAGCAGAGCAGAGCTCGGGAAGTGAGGTATACAAACCTACACCTCCAGCCGCTTACCTGTCTTTGTATTTGGACAACTTTTCTTCCTCCCAGGCCGTGTTTCCACCTCCAAAGTTGTCCCGGATGGTTCTCTCCAGGCCCTGGAAATGGAGAAAAGTGGCAATAGCTAAGTACAGTGCCCGGCACATTCTAGCACTTCAGTATTTCACTGACCAGGAAACTGAGGCACAGAGAGGCAACCTGATCAAGGCCATACAACTAGTAAGTAACCACGTTGGGACTTGAATCCACGCAGACTTGCATCCCAGAGCTCCCTACTCTCAATCCCTGTGCTATAGTAGCTGGGCCCCCTCCCACGAGGCTGCTGGTGCACCCACCTTGTTGAAGCTGTCAACCAGTCCCCGGCAGGTATGACACGGATGGGGCTCCGTCGGGGGAGAAGCCTGGGGAGGCGGAGAGGGCTGGAGCCAGACAGGGCCTGGGAGGCTTAGGAAGACGCTCAGGCTCCAGAGCAGAGGTGGGACCAGGTCCCTGCCGGGCCGTGGGGCCATCTTTTCCCAGGCTGGCGACCTGTAGATAGAGGGCATGCAGAGGGTTCGCTCGAGGAGCCAAGCGAGAAAGAAAAGGGTCGGTTCTAAGGTGCCGCGGGTCTGGGAGCCCAGATCTGTGTTATTATTCGAAAAGGAGGCTAGACTGGGGCACAGCCGGGGGGAGGAGTGATGGTGGGAAGGGAGACTATTCGGCAGTGCCAGGACGGGAATAAGTTATCTTCGTCACCGTGGAGGAGGCGGCCTGGATCCTTTACCAGGGGCCAGCGGTCAGCTTATTGTTTGAGGGTCTGAATATGGGTTATTAGGGGCCGGATCAGCGGAATTAGGGAGAATGGGTCAGATTCCAAGTATTGGGGAGAAGAGGCCGGATGGGCGGTCTTGGGGGAGGAGCCCGGATCCGGATATGAAGAGAAGGGGTCAGGTTCGGGGCCGGCAGGCGGCAAAGGCGTGGCCCACGAGCCTGCAGGGGAGGATCCAGGTCCGCGGAGGCCGCGAGGGAGGAAGCGACGACCAAGCCAGCCCGCGAGCGCCGACGGCTCAGCCTGCCCAACGCCGCCGGGCCCGCAGCGGCCGCTGCCTGCGTCAGACGTGCAACCTCCGCCAGCTCCGCAGCCCGGGGGGCGGAGCCCAAGCCACAGCCAATGGTGGCGGGCCATGTGCGATTGCGTCACCCCACCCCAGCCAACCGGAGGCGGTGCCGGGCTGCACCTGTTTGGGTGTTAAAGGGGCGCGGGGATGCGCGACGCGGGCCGCTGGTCAGGCGAGCTGCTCGCTCACAGAGACGTGTGGGAGACACGGATAGAAAAATAGCGTCTGCCTTTATTCAGGTCCTGTCCCCTGCCTCCGGTCCCATCCCGCGTCCCATCCCCGCGGTCCCCGGGGTCCGGAGGCAGCTGTCCAGGGCGGGCTGCAGGGCCCGGGCCACTTGTTCCGCCCTCTCGCCCAGCCGCCCCGGGCGCGGGCCGCGGGGCCCCTGCAGGCTGCCCAGGAAGGCGGGCAGCTGTGAGGGCAGGGAGAAGACAGGCACGGCGCGGAAGAGGGCGGGCACGGCGTCCGCGTGCAGCAGCCCGTCGAAGTAGGCCCCCACGTAGCGGCCGGGCGCCCGGCCCTGCAGGAAGTCGGGCAGCACGCAGCTGAGCGAGGCGGCGAAGGCGTCGTGCGGGCCGTGCGCCCCCGGCGCGGGCCCCGCGTCCTGCAGCCACTCGTGGCACAGCGCCACGGCCCCGGGCGAGAAGATCAGCACCACCAGGCCGCCCTCCTGCACGGTCCGGCGCCGCTGCGCGTGGAACCAGGCCAGGGGCCCCTGCGCGCTCAGCTCACGGCGGCTCCACAGGTCCACGGCCACGCGCAGCGGCACCTGGCACAGCGCCGACGCCAGGGCGCCCACCAAGCGCTCGAAGCCGGCGTCGTCGGCGGAGTAGAGGAGCAGAGCCGCGCGGCCCGTGGCGGCCGCTGCCAGAGAGAACAGAGGGGGCAAGACGTCAGAGGGCCGAGGCCCAGCCCGCGGGGGCGGCCCCCGCCCGCGCTCGCTCACACTCACCCCCCGCGCGGATGTCCTCCTTCAAGAGCCTCAGCCACCCTGTTTGGGGAGAGGGGCGGAGGCAGCCGGTGAGCTCAGCCGCCGCCTTCTCTTGGCAAACTCCCAGGCTACCCCTGGGGAATGGGGAGCCAGGAAGCGCTCACCTTTCACGTGGTCCTTTTTGAGAAGGAAGAGAAGAAAAAGCGCAGCGGCAAAGAGTAGGCAGGCGAGCCACACGAGGACCCAGCGCTGGTGGATGTCTAGACCCAGGGGAGAAGACAAGATAATTAGAGCCCTTACACTTTCACCCCACTTCACGAAGGAGAAAAACTGAGGCTCAGAGAAATGATGTGATTTGCCCAAAGTCCACAGCACATAGTGGCAGAGCCAGTATATGAATTTAGATCCATCTGCTTGGGTGACCTTGGATAAGTGACTTCACCTTCTGCCTCAGTTTTCACCTCTATAAAATTGGGATAACAATAGTAGCTACTATATAGGGTCGTTGTGAGGACTAAATATATTAATACACAAAAAACACCACCATGCTGGGGGTATTAAGTGCTCAAATGTCAGCTGATATTATTGTCCCCTAAGCCTAGGGTTGCTGGGCCCCTGACTTCTCTCTTGGATGATTGCAGCAGCCTTCTAACTGGTGTCCCTGACCTCTTTTTTGCCTCCAATCCATTCACCACATGGCAGCCCCAGAGATCTTCTAAAAACACAAATTTGATTATGGCCCTTTGGTAAGATCCTGCTACTGTTAAGATAAAATCCAAATTCCTCACATTGCCTCCCAAAGCCCTACATGGCCCTTGCATCCTCATCTCATGACAACGTCTGCTTCCCAAGACCCTTGGGCCACACTGGCTACCTTGGAGTTCCTCAAAAAGCACCCCATTTTCATAAAAATGCTTCTCTACCCCCCTCACCTAGATCAGCCTTCAGAGTTCAGCTGGAACCTTTCCCCCGAACTCCTCAGCCCACCGAGGTCGGGTCCACACTGTATGCATTCATGGATTTGGACACTTTTACTTTCTAGTGAGTGCTTCAGTAGCTCACACTTACTAAATGTAAGTGATTTTTGGCTAATGTCTTTCCAGCCTTCTATGGCTGAGTTGGGGCGTGGACTGTCTCTTTTTGGTGATGCTGGGATCCCTGCAAACTCTCATTATGGTTTTTGAGTGAAGGAATGACCCTCTGATTGATCTTAGCCAGTGAAGGACGAGGCCATTGCTTGTGCTGCCCCCATGAGTGCTCCCTGTCAAGATGCCAGCTCCTGGTACAGAGAGGAAAGGCAGTTCTTGTAATACTCACACTTGTCCATTGGGCAGGCCCACAGGGCTCCCAGGTCATCATCCCACAGCTGTAAGACACAAACAAAACGAAGCCCAGAGCCCCCAGCTTGGTGTTCAACATCCACTAAGTTCTGGCCAGCCTGATCTCCAAATTCCCAGCCTCCACTGTGCCTCTTTCCCCAAACACACAGGAGGCTCCTGCAAGCCGCTCTGTCTTTGCTTATGCTGTGCCTACTGCTGATTGGTGCCTTCCTCCATGCCAGATCCAGCCTACATGAAGAGCCCCTTGAAGCTCTCCCTGGAACCCCATGCTTAGCACATGGGAATGTGGTTTTCTGTTGACTGGTTTCTGGCCAGCAGTGAGCAACTCAGGGACAGGTACTATGTGTCTTCAACTCTTAACTTCCCCAAGGCTGGACACAAAATAAACACAAATAGATAGTGGGTGGGTGCTGGAGGGACAGTGACGTGGCCCCTGCCTAGGAAGAGCGAGAGTTTTCCTGGTGCTTTCTGTTAGTCACGGGAAGAGGAGGAAGAGGCCGAAGACAGAGTTTGAGGGCCATTGCCCTTGGGTATTGGGGCAGGGCCCTCCTGCCACCTACTCACCTGCAGACACTGGCCCGAGTGCAGGTCTTGTAGTAACTGCTCTCCAAGGCGAGCTGCCCTCTGCCAAGCCAAGGAGTAGGGGGCTGTCACCTAGGGGCACCACACCTAGGAGACCACCAGGCTGCAGCTGGGCAGAATAGTAGTCAGTGGGGGGTGGGGGGAGGCTGGGAGATTTTTGAGAGGCCACTGAGAACCAGCACAGGGCCTGGCACAGAGGAGGGGAAAAGTTGAATAAAGGGAAAATTTGAGGCCAGGTTTGAGATGGAGCTGAGGAGGTAGGTACAAGCAGGAGGGTCCCCCAGCACTCACCGTGGAGGCCCTGCTGAGCAGTGGGGTGCAGCCACTGGGTTCCAAGGCACAGAATGATCTGTTGTCCTGGGGACCTCCTGCCTCCACCAGCAGCATATCATCCTTGAGGGGCCCTAGGGAGTCTGGAAGGGGTGAGAGCCCACTCTGAGTGAGAGCCAACCTTGCTTGGGGCTGCCACTTGCTCCCCTCCTCCATGCCTTACATTCACCCCCAGGAGCTGGCATTTCTGGGGTTTACCCCTATTGCAACGGCCCTGTCCCAGTGTCCCCCAGGCCCCACTCACCAGCCCACAAGCACTCCTGCAGCTGCAGCTGCATCTTCTCCCAGCTGCTCACCTGCTTGGAGGGGGCCAGGGTTAGGGACACAAGGAAAAGCCAGAGTCAAGGGCAGAAAGAGCAGAAGAGAAGGGACAGGTAAGGGGAGGCCTCTCGGGCTGGGGGTTCTGCACTCTGGACCTGACTTTAGGCAGATCTGGCTTCAAGCTTGGGTGATTAGGAGTCACTCTATCTTTCTCAGTCTCAGCCTTGTGAGGTCATCTGAGCCAAGGGGCCTTACGACCCTAAATTAGCTCTTTTCATGTCTGACCAAGCACTTCATACATTCCCTTCTCATCTAACCACTTCTCGAAGAGGCCTCACCTGACCACCCCACTTGCAATTGCCACCCCATTCTCCCTTATCCTTCCCCACCTTTTCCCATAGTGTTTATATACAGTTTTAACATCCTGTAACAATTTACTTATTATACCTATTGTCTGCCTTTCTCCATTAGCACATAAACTCTATAAGGGTGGGAACATTTATTGATTTTATTAACTGACATATGTATCCCAAGTGCCTAAAACAGTGCCTGGCACATGGCAGAAGCTCAATAAATCTTGAACAAATATGTTTATAATCACCCTTTGAAGCTGGAGAGCAACCTGTCCTACAGGTAGGGAAATTGGATGACGATAGCAATGACGAAAGCTGCTAGCTGGCATTTGTTGAACATCTAGTCTGTACCAGTCCCTTGGTGAAGCACTTCTCTTGTTTAATCTTCAGTACCACTCTCTGAAGTAGTTACTATTATCATCCTCATCACACAGATGAGACTGACCGTCAGAGAGGGGGACTGACCTGCCCAGGGTCCCATGCACTGTTAGAGTAAAGATGCAGTGGAACTCCTAAAGAGGAAGCCGGCAACCACTTTGCTCCAGGGACCCGAGGATAAACTGGGTCCAGAGCACTGTGACTCCTCTGGGGGTCTGCGCCGGGTCCTGCCCCCAGCCCAGCACTCTGGCGTCCCCTTCTTACCTGGACACAGAGGTTGGGGTGGCCTTTCAGCAATGGGAATTCAAGGGCCATCTGTGGAAAGAGGGGAATGGATAGGTTCAGGAAAGTTACCCCCTCTCGCCTCCCCTAACTTCCACAACCCCGGGAGCCACCGCCTCGCTTACGTTCACAGTGACATTCTCTCTGGGCAACGGCGGGACGAGAGGCTGGCAGGGGCCCCTGCTGGGTGCCTGCCAGCACAGTGTGGCCTGGGCGTGGAGGGAGCACGGTGCGTCCAGCCGCCAGCCCCGCGGGGGCAGCAGCTGCAGCCGGGCAGCCCGCCAGAGGTTCCGGTGTGCCCGTGGGTCTGCAGAGAGGGGCCAGTCACTGGGCGCCCGGCCCTCACTGGCCTGCACCATGCCCACCCTGGCCCTAGCCGGTCTGCTCACCCTCCGTGAAGGGGCAGATG